CCTGCTGCCATGGGCGTGGCAGCCCCAGCCACACAGGCTCCTCGCACCCACCGCATGCTGCTGCACTCCGGAGGGAGCCCAGGGACCGGGGCAGGCTTCCGAGCAGAGGGGTCCCACAGGCAAACCCTCCCCAACTCTGAGCATGAGGAGCCAGCAACACACCTGTGCCGAGAAGCCGCAGAAGAAGCCAAACCAGAAGTGGACCATGGTGAAGGCGAAGTTCTTGTAGAAGAAGTAGCAGAGGAACTTGCACATGCGCAGGTAGGACCAGCGTCCATGCACCAGGAGAAGGCGCTGCAGGAACTTGAACTGTGAGAAGGAGTAGTCGGAGGCCAGCACCGCCTGGATGCCCTCCTGCCCGCTGATGCCCACCCCAATGTGGGCGGCTGCAGAGGGAAGACAGAGGGGAGTGAGGAGGGCTCTGCCAGGAGCATAGGTGGCAGAGGACTGAGGGTGGCACACCCCCAGCAGGACTGTGTTCCTGCGGGGCACAGAGGGGTGAGGACAGAGGCTGCCACCGGCCCCCGCACAATGCAAGGGGGTACCTGTCCCTCCTGCGGCTCCCCGGACCCCAGGACTTACTCTTGATCATGCTGACATCGTTGGCCCCGTCCCCGATGGCCAGGGTCACAGCTTTCTTGTACTTCTTCACCAGCTCCACCACCTGGGCTTTCTGCAAGGGTGTGACACGGCAGCAGATGACGGCCTTGCAGGCACATGCCGTCTCCAGGAACTCCACCTCCATGTCAGCCTCCAGCGCATGGGCCTGCGAGGAGAGCGGGGGGACAGTGGAAGGCACGGCCCACAGCCGGGCACGGTGCCCCATCTAGCCCAGCGCTCCCGGGTCCCTACCAGGCTGTGCCCATTGATGACCAGGGCATATTCGCCCGCAATGGCTTCCAGCACAGAGGTGAGCTTGGAGGAGGAGAGTTTCTCCTGGTAGGAGAAGCCATTGCCCATGGAGCGCGACGCATCCATCATCTTCTCCCGGGCTTTCCTGAGGAGAAAGAGAGGAGTCAGGCTGCCCCAATTCAGGGCACTTCTGTATCCCCCAGCTCCCCCACGCACAGCCATGCCCCACGCCAGCCCTGCACGTGTCCTCTGCCCAGCCCTGTCCCCCGACCCTCACCTGAGCTCCTCTCGCACCTCCAGCAC